AGAGAGTACAATCAATATCCCATTTAATATCTAAGGAAAGACCCAACCCTAAGAGATAGAGAATTGTGCGTGAGAGAGTTGAGTTCGGACTGCTCCTATTATAAAATTTGAGAGAGTATTCATAAGCTTCCACCTTACTCAGGATTTGCAGTGTAGAATTGATTTCAGCAGCTCTAATAGTTATGGAACTTACATACGCGAGTTGATTATTCATATCTAAAATAGTTGATTAAAAAATGGTTTGTGAGTACTCAGGTATGATACTTGGTACCTGGTTGTTTAAGTTTTGCTTTTACTTCGGCCATTGGACCGGTTATTCTAACATTTAAAAAAAGTTAAATCAAAGAAATAATATAAATTATTGTAAAAATTTCTTTTCAATTAACTTTTAAAAATCATGAATCCCTAACTGAGAAAAGTAGAAATTAAATTTCTAAAAAAGTAGTTTATCTAATAGTATTCATATTGCTAAACAAAAAATTAATAATGCCCATATAGATAAATACATAATTCTTTGGGGAATACTATAGAAACAAATCCTTATATTAATTTGTCAAGAAATAAAAAATATATAATAAAAAAAGGAAATTGTTGGATAATTTATGCTACTAACCTTTTACTTATGAACTTTAAAATCAATGAAAGAAATAATAACCTGGGAAATTCTTATTAAAAAACCATAAAATGTTTTTTGGTGTCTATACTAACTCACTTCGCTTAGAAGCTCATAAAAAAAAAAGTCCTCAATATAAACCAATGGTTATTATTAATTCTAAAGGAGGGCTCGGAATATGCAATCCTTGAGAACATTAGTGTATGTAGTAGAGACCTTGGTGCAAGAAGGGGCTTTGTATTGGCAAATACTAAGTACCTGTGCATTTGGCAAAGGGTCAGAATTGATTATTTTTCATGAAAATAATGATAGTGTTTTTGTTATCAAAAGTAAATTAGGAAATTTAGGTAGATATTTTTTATACTTTTTGAAATGTCAAAAATATTCTCAATATTTTATACTTTACATTCAAGCCCGATTTTTTAAGAGCACATCAGTTTTTCAATTTTATCTCTTTTCTATGAATCTAATTAAGCACAATTTTTTGGTGTCTATACTTCTCACCATATTACAGCTGTAAAAAAATAAAAATAAAAAAAATTTAAATACATAAATGACCAAAATGAATAACAACAATAAATTTGTATAAGACATTTTGGTAACTTCATATTTATTCAATGAGAAATGATCCTATAGGATCTTCCCCTACCTATGTGTGTAGGACCTCAAAGAATCACCATTAAATTTGACACGGGTATCTAAAAACGTCAAGTCTCACACCCATGTGATAACTTTTATAGAGATCTGTGTTAAATTTAATGGTGATCCTTTAGGGTCCTACATACATGGGTGAGGGATGATCCTATAGGATCATTACTCGTATTTAAGTAGTATTTTTTTACAGTTGGGTAACAGTGAGAATTATGGACAGATGAAATTTGAGATTTATCCGATGTGTAAAAAAAATATAAAATTGAAATACTAGAGTGCTCTTAAAAATAAGACATAAACACAATATAGAAAATTCAAGATATTTTTTAAATTTCAAAAAATACATTAAATACTTACATAAAGACAAAGTTTATATAAGGCTACAATCTTAAACTTTAGAATAAGGTGCTCGTCAATAATCCCTTTGATGTTTTGAATTTAGAAAACCCTCCAATTGATCATCTTGATATTGAGATTTATGGAGAGAAAAAAAAAGATTTCAAGTCCCAAAAATAGTGCATCTTGCAACACATTATCTGGACCATCCACTTTCCAGATTTTCATGTGTTCATAAATATACTTGATTTGAATAATTTTTGGAGTTCAAAATATTTAATTAGAGATAAAAATAGATTCTCAGGACATCTCAAACATTTTGTACACCAATTTTTTTTTTTTATGATAAGATTTGGACGGGCGCCTTACTTTGATTGTTTAATCCCTTTAAAATTTGGCACCTCCCTCCTTAAACCCCACTAACTAAATAAGAAAGAATGTGGCATTTGTCTTATATTAGGAAAGGGATCGCCACTATAAAAAGATTAAAGACTGAAAGGAGCCCTAAGTACTTCCTATCCTTAATTGTATTAGAAGTTATTATTAGAGATTCAAAAGATGGTTAGAAAAAGATGAATGAACTTGGGCAAAAAATCTACAAAAACCTTCTTAATTTCAAGCATGCAATAGCGTTTTCTTAAAACAATATTTGTTTTTTTCATTAACAGTAGACAGCCAGCATCAAACAGGCAATTTGTCCTCAAGATACAGGAAAGCATGAAGATCTGAAAAATTCCTTCTAAGTTCTATGCACAAGAACTAGAAACCTTTTATATATGGGTCAGAGTTTTGTAATTGTTCAAAAAACACCATCCAACAGTTATCAACTGTCAGATCTACAAACAGATGGATGCAAAATGCACACCCCTTTGTCACAATATGCACACCGCTAGTGTTATAAACGTTGGATGCAATATGCACACCACTTGGTCCTAGCTAGTGTTATACAGGTTGGATCTCACACGCATTATGCTTGCGTCCCCTCCGTGTACATTTGCAGGCGCGAGTAGCGTCATATAAAATTAGACTGAGCCTCAAGCCTAAACCCGCATGCGTGCGAGGGGCACCTTATAACACCAATGTGAACATATGAAATACAAAGTGCGTCATCAAGCACCCTTTTACTCTAGCACCATTGTTTTATAAATAAATATAAACCATGAGAATGATTACATATATGTACTACTCATTTTTCACCCTCTTCTTCAATGTGGGACTAAAACCCACACATTTCTCTCTTAATGCTATATGAAACATAGGAAAACTACAATAAAACCTTGTGTTTATTTAAATGCGCACAAGTGTAAAAATACTAACAAAGATAAACTTGAGATTCTTTTTTTTCAATAGGAAACCTTATTATCAAATACATCATCATCATTCAAGCTTTATCATGATTATTTAAGATCAGTTACATAAATCATGTTCTGCCATTTCGCTCTATTAAAGGTCATTACCCTCAGTCAAATTATAAATCATCATATCTCTTCTCACTACGTCCATTCATATCCTTTTGGTCATTCTCCTTGCTTTTTAGAGCATTCACTCGAACCAAATTGCTCTTCCTAATAGGTGTTGTTTTAAGTCGACGCTACATTAATCAGACTACCTAGTGTACTTTCCATCATCTTGTCGCCTATTGGAGCCACCACTAAGTTCCCTCGGATATATTGATTCCAAATTCTATCTTTTATTGTCATGCCACTCGTCTATGTCAACATCATGTATGATATACTTATTCTATAAATATATTGTTTCTTGACCTCCCAACATCAACGAGTATCAAAATGATAAAATGGATGTAAGATGGGGCAAAATTGATTTCAATAATACAACCCAAAAAATTGCATGGTTTTCAAAAATTTGGAGAATTCTTAATTTTAACCGATTAATCGCCGCGTTTACCAATCACCCCAGTTCTTGACTCTGATCCACAAATAGTCTTATGTATAAGCAAGCCCTATTTGATTCAGGCAATTACGATTCAGATCACCGATTTTTTAAACACAATATATTGCCTTTCAATATTAACTATGCTGGCTACAAAACGTGGGCTAGTAGTAAGGTGAAAGGAAGACCCAACATCCAAGTCATGCCTTGTGCCGGAGGCTTGCTGTTTCCCATCACCATCCGACCCATTGGTTGGACGGTGATGATCACCATGACTACATACCCCATGTGATCATGTGAATATTGATATACTTTGCCTTTGTAGCACATGCTTTTGTTCTTCCATAATTCCCGGATCACGAACGTATAAAGAAATGCATAAGAGGGAATGGGTTGACATGGGTAGAGCAACATCATAATGACAGGTGGTGCAATCTCTATCGTCCATTGAAGGCAGATATTAAACCTGTATCATACACGTGGTGCAGCTTAAATCCGTACACAGGTGGTGTATGGCATGCTTTTCCTTTCCCCAGCTTCCTATATGACGGTGCGCGAAGGACTCAGTTCTTTGATTCCTTGCATTCAAATGATACACAAGCCACGTAAGTGCTTACCAACTCAATAAGTAAGTTTGACCCATCTCTATGTGATAGTAATTAATAAATTTATTATCGTCAAAGTTTTTTTTTTAGGGATCGACTATAATAATTAATAAATTGATAACTAATTGATTAATTTTTTTTAAAAAATATCCAATAAATAATTGAGCATAAATGTATTCCCATGAAGCATCGTCAATCGTCTGCACTTACTTCCTCTTTACGTCTTTGCCCCAGCTTGTTACTCGGGCCGAGCTGGGTCGTGCCAAATATATTCTAAAAAAAACAAAGAAAAAAAAGAGTTTGTCAGTTGAACCTCGTTGGTTGTCATGATCCTCTACCTGGCCCGGCCTTAACACTGCATGCTACATCTTATGGCCCAAGCCCTTGGTTTAAAAGGCGGGACCAGATTGGACCGCCCGACCCATTGCCACCTCTACTTGGTTTTTCACTTACCTGGAATGTGTCTTAGAATTAAATATCTGACGATTCTCACATTAAGTTGGACCATGAGTTTATGAAAGACCTGATTACCTAAGATATAATCATCTAAAATTCAATATTGGCTTAATTTCTATATTAAAAAAAAAATAAAAATACATTTACTCCTTAATTTTTCAGAATTTGGTTGTTAAGATTAGGAGATTACCTTCAATTTTGGGTCTTGAAAATGCCAAAATACTGCTTGGTGTTTACGCAAGCGAGCATTTACCCGCGGGGGCACATGATCTTTTGGCATAATAAATATTACCAACAAGTTACAACCACGAAAAAGGTCGGTCTTCGTAGTGAAGTTATCACCGCGAACAATACATTTTTTATCTCTGTGTACGGGTATGATTTAAAGACTATTTCAATCACATAGTCCTCAGGATTATATTAAACTCCACGTGTTTTGAAAGTTGTTTCCTTCTCTCCCACCATTTTTGAAAGTAGTGCATAAAACTCGAGCACCATCCATTCCAACTCCTGAAACTTAGGGTTTGCTATTAAATTAGGGTTCGCTATATAGAGAATTGGTGTTCATCTTTATTTTTTGTGGTTTATTGTTAGGTTTAATTTTTTTTGGGGATTTTTTTACTTCTTGGTTTTCTTCAATTTTCCTCATTTCTGGCTTTTCAATATTCAGGAAGATGATGAGCGAGAATGAACGGTATTCCTTCTTCTTCTTCTTCTTCTTCCTTTATTTTGTTAATTTTTCGTATTACTATATGGTGTTGTTTGGTCATGGAAAAGTAATTTCTATGGATTTATTTATTAATTTTTGCAGAATGGATGATGAGAAGGCAGAGTTTTTGAAGGAATTTGGTAGGGATTATGGTTACCCAGAAGGCTCAAAAAGCATTGATGAGATCAGAGCTTTAGAATTCAAGAGATTGAATGGTCTCTCTCTCTTTCTTTCTCTCTTTCTATTTTAAACCGAATTCAGCTATTGATGATTTCTCTCTCTCTCTCTCTCTCTAAAACAGGACTTGTGTACTTGGATCATACTGGCGCTACTCTATACTCAGAGTTGCAGATGGAAGCCATTTTCAATGACCTGAAATTTAATGTCTATGGAAATCCTCGTATCCTTTACTTTTCCAATTTTCTGGTCATTTGTTCTCTGAGAAATATTCAACTTGAACTCTTTCTTCATTGTAATCACATTACATTTTGCTGTTTCAGTATCAATTTGAACACCAGTCTTCACTATTTTGGGACCAGTTTTTCAATTTTTAACTTAACTTGGTGATTATCAGATAGCCAGAGTGATTCCAGTTTGGCTGCATCAGAGCGTATCAATTCGGCACGCCAACAAGTAACCCTTACTTCTATCTCGATGCAAATGCCTGAATTTTTACACCTCAAGCATTTGTCTGTTACATTTTCATTTATAGATTCAGGATTATGTCTTTCTTATATTCTATCGTACTTTCATTTGCAAATTCAAGAATACTTTGTGCTTATATTGTACAATGCATGAAGTTACTTTTCTGTGCATGAAGTTACTTTTCTGTCCATTGTTATAAGGCTTCTGTAACTTGGCCCTGGCCCGAGCTGAGAAACTCGGTAGTGGACTTGGCCGAGTCCTGCACATGTGCAACAGAGATCCAAAAATCCAAAAATAAAATGTAAAAAAACTGTTAAAAATAAAGAAAATCAGGGAACACTGAAATAAGTAATAGGAATCATTAGAACCAGTGTTTCAAAAAGCGCTAGTCAGCACCTAGGAGGTCGGGGGGTCCAGGCCGCCCAGCGCCTAGGCAGGCGCCCAGAACCTAAGTGGCTCGGTAGAATTTTTTTTTTTTTTTTGGGTTTTTCTCTCTCTAGAATAGGTTCTAATGGATTTTAGATTTCAAATGAATGTAAAACCCACAATTTTGTACATTTAGTATTAAAAAAATGACCCAAAAATACATAATCTTGCACCGTATTTAAAAAATGGCCCAAAAATATCTTCAACGAGGGGCATTCCCGCCCCTGGGCCGGTTGCAGGCCCTAGGCGGCCGCCCGCCTAGGTGGGTGCCTAGGTGGGTTCTTGGCTGCCTAGGTGGGTTCTCGACCGCCTAGGCGGGCTCAGGTGGGTGCCTAGGCGGCCAAATTAGGCGGATATCAATGCGTCCAAGCCTTGTGGATCACCTAGGCAGCGGCCGGCCAGGTGCTAGGCAGTTCACTTGTTAAAACACTGATTAGAACTCTATACTAGTTGACAAAAATATATAATAGATGGATTACTAGAAATTTTGATTTATCTTTGAAAATATGGGAAATTAATTAAAAATACCATGAGAGATGCACTATTTAACATTTTCCACCGGTGCGGCTACTCCAACTCATGATCACGTATCATTTGATGGGCATCTTGAAATTAAATCAAACTCCATGGGTAAAGTGCTAAGTAGATCTCTGATAGCTACTTTGATAAATTCCCTTCAAAATTTTCAGAAAACATAAAAAGGAAAATAAAAAATTAGAGAAAATAATGAGAAAAGTTTACAAATCATCATAAAAACCACACAAATTATATAGAAACATATTTTTAAGTTTATATTAGCGATTTTTTAACAAAGTTATTGATTTTTTTAAGAAGGCGAGTTGGACAGTAAAACTTGCCTGTGGCCGAGTTACTAGGATGAGTTTGAGTGGACTCAGCTGAGTCCATGAACCCTGATTGTTATTATTGCTGTTGATTTCTTTACTAGTTGAGTCTGTATTGTATCTACTAGGTTTTCTGTTCTATTTTCTTTGCACGTAGTTCAAGGTGTATTGATTATTGTTGAAGTCAGGTTTTTGCTCATTTGTGTGTTGATCACTATTTTCGTTACACAGGTCCTGGACTATTTTAATGCATCAGCGAAGGACTACAAATGTATATTCACTTCTGGTGCAACAGCTGCCCTTAAACTTGTCGGTGAGGCTTTCCCTTGGAGCACAGAGAGCACCTACATGTATACGATGGAGAATCATAACAGTGTCCTTGGAATCAGAGAGTGAGCTATTAGCCCCTTAAATTGATCTATTTTTTTTATGATAAAACCTATTCTATTAGACCCCTTGAATTAATTTAATTATTCTTTTCTGTCTATTGTTTGTTTTTGGTTCATATTATACTTTGTTGACATGTTTGAAGTTAGGTTCTATGTCTGCTAAACAGTTTAAACTTAGCATTGGTCAATTAGGAATGTATGTGTATGGGAAGATTGTTATGCACAAAAAGGATACAAATTGGACCCCAAATCTCAATGCACTAAGTCATGCTATATTTCTAATTACACCTTGCTAGCCAGCCTATCATCCATCTATTTTACTTCTTGGATTTTGAATTATTTCTCGTATGAGAAATGGCCATCACATGGACCAAGCACATATAGCGGTCCACCAATCCATGCGTCACTGCATTGGTAGGTATTCTTCAGGTGAATTGTATGTTTTATCTCTTCTTGAGGCAGGGACACCAGATCTTTAGTGCTAACAAATGTTATTAAGACTGGACCAGAGCAGCCCGTTCAAACTGGGAACTGGTGGCCTGGTGCCCCAACCAGCGGTTTTAGGGGTCCCAAACCGGTGGGCATTGAATCTGTCAAAACCAGTCTGAACCGAATTGGCTGGTTTAGACCAATTTTGACCAATGTTTTTATATATATTTTGTTTATTTCTTTCAGATCCATTTTATAACATCAGTTCCTAATATTTTTTGAACCTGTTCGTGTTTCTTATTTATTCGTTTGTCCCCTTTTTTTTTTTCTATTTTTTCCAATTTGTTTGTATATTATGAATTTTTAATTTTAAAAATTTGAGCGGTTTGACCGGAAGGGTGGACCAGTCCGGTCAAACAGTCTGACCCCACGGTGCCCCTACTTTTCTGATCTCTGGTCCAGTCTTAATAATATTGGTTCAACTTTTGAAAACTCTCTTGTCTCTATGGGCAATCCCTCCTTATTCTCCCAAAATTAACTGTTCTGTACTTCAGCTTCCCTTTCCTCACTTTAAGATTTTCTGTGACCTTTGAAGTTAATCTACCCATCCACAATGAGCTATCAGCACCATCTTTATCATATCCTTGAAACTAATATGTTTGAAATTCACAATTTCAACTCTTTCAACTCTCAAGGGCACTGGTTGTTATTCTCCTATGATGAGAAAAGACTACAGTTGTATTCAAGATACAATATACATGAATAACATATGACTTTGGACATGAGGCTGAAAGTGCATCTGCAATCAGAGTCCTATTCTAGAGATTGAATTTGAGGGCTGATAGTGATGAATATGTATTAAAAGGTTTTCTATGGTGCATTTGACATATTTACCCTGCAAAAGGTGCATCTGATGTATTATTTTATTTGGTTCGTAGGTGAGTATCCTCTTTATCAGGATGTTTGATTTGAAAACCAGAGGAGAGCTTTTCTTGAATGGATTTGGGTTTTTAGTTTTATTTCGAAATCTTTTTAATCATGAAAGGGGAAAAATACAAATGAATAAGGTGTGCGGTTGGGAAATATTTACATGTCATGCAAGCTTGTCATATGAAAATCTTAAGTTCACATTTGTCTTTTGAACTCAGCATCGTCACTGTCTATGTTGGCCCTTAATATCTACAGATATGCTCTAAATCAAGGATCCAAAGCTGTTGCTGTCGATATTGAACAGCTCAACGAGTGTGGTGGGCAGTCTGATGCTGATGTCTATTCCACTCGTAAATATTTCCATCCCCCACAAAGACGAGACCCCAAACTTTCAAAAGAAATGTCAAATGGTAATACAGTGGCACTGTATTTCTTCTGTTGCATCTTTGTAGTCACTAGCCTATGTTATCTAATTTCTATTGGATGTTTTGGTGCATTTTTTTCTGTTCGCAGAGACATTATATAACTTATTTGCCTTTCCCTCCGAGTGCAATTTCTCTGGTATTAAATTTGATCTTTCCTTGGTTAAAAATGTTAAGGAGGACACTCAATCGTTTTTCAAGGGTTCGCCTTATGGCAGGTACTACTTGTGAACACCTTCCGTTTGGACTTTTTTTTCTTACCATTGTTTATGAAGAAAGATGTGATTTCATATATATGGCTATGTTGTCAGGTTTTTGAATATTGAACCATGCTTCCAATGTCCTAGACATGGAACAAACACATATTCATATATCCATGCATCTTATGAAGCAAGTAGTTGTAGTAGTAGTATTGTTGTTGTTGTTGTTGTCATCGTGGTTATTATTCTTATTCTTATTATTGTTATTACTATCACTATCAGAATTACTATTACTATTACTATTACTCATACTATTATTGTTGTTATAGTTGTTGTTGTTGTTATTATTATTATTATTATTATTATTAGTATTGTTATTATGAGTATTATTACTATTACTATTGTTCTTTTATTATTATTATTACTATTGTTCTTTTATTATTATTGTTGTTGTTATTATTATTATTATTATTATTATTATTATTATTGTTATTATTATTATTAGTGGTAGTAAGTAATAGTAGTAGCGGTGGTTGGTAGGGCAATTAAAGGGCTCGGGCCACCCTGGTGGTTTGCGGTTTGGGCACTGTTTCAGTCTACGTCCAGGCTTGGTAGGCCCAAAATATTTGCTGGCCGCACTTGATGGTCAGCACCAGCCTAGGCCGAAAAGTTTTTATTTTACATATATTAAATATTTTTTGCTCTAGTCCATTTTTTACTTTGCAGGCCGGGCTCTGGCCTCGTTGTCATGAATTTGGGCCAGGTCTAGGCCAGCCTGAAATTAAGTTTTCTGGTCTCGGCCCTAACCTATAGCATTTTGGGCAAGGGTTGCGGCAAGTCTGGCCATGCTCAAACTCCACCTTTGGACACCCCTTGTGGTGGTAGTAGTAGTGAGACAACAACTTCAACAACAGCAATAGTAGCAGCAACAGAAGCAACACCAACAATAGTATTAGTAGTAGTATTAGCAACAACAACAACAACAACAACAACTATTGTAGTTGTTAAGACCGATCCAGACTGGTTGGTCTTGCTAGTTAGACCACCGATTGGCAGTTTCAGCCCAATAAAGCCTTGGGTTGGTGTCACCTATTGAAATATTTCGACATTTAGACACATCTTGACACTTGTGGACACTTGGTATCTAAAAAAATATAAAAAATTTCGTTAGGCTCCCATAGTGGGAGTAGAACTTAAATTATTCAAGCTTGCCATCGTTCTACCACTTCTCTATCCACTACATTTGTTGTATAATAGGAAAATATTATATATATATATATATATATATCCTTATAGTAGAAATATAATAACTCATACAATAATAGATGTATGGAGGCGTCTAGCTCTATCGGCCTTTTTGGCAAAGTACTTGACACCTTCACACTTATAGATACTAGAACTTGTGTCAATGTCATGTAACACTTTAGATAGTACCATTTCTGTCTAGTCCAAAGTAAAATAGGTTTGGTAAAAATCTTGTCAAAACTACTGTTTGACTGGTCGGATAGGCTGATTGGACTAGTTAAACAAAGTTAGGCAACTTGTTTTGTACTATATTTTCAGTTTTTTAAACGATTACTTTTTTTCTTTATTGTTCTAAACTTCAGTTTAACTACATCAACTGACGATCGGATTGGTTTTGATTGGACTAGATGCGTTTCCTGTTCTTATGCGTCACCCATTTGGTGGCGTTCCAATTCCGATAACACTTATAGCAGCAGTAGCAACAGTAGTAATACTAGTAGTAATAGCAACAGAAGCAATATCAGGAATTAGCATTAATAGCAGTACTAGCATTGGTAGCAGTAGTAGTGGTGTTAGTAGTAGCACTGGCAGGAGTAATAGTAGTGGCAGCAACAGTAGTAGCAGTGGCAGTAGGAATAGTCATAGCAGTTGCAGTTATATCATCAGTAAGACTGTCAATGGTCTGGCCTGGCCTCGGGATTTGGGGCTGGGCCCGGGGGCTTCGGGCTGGTTTTGGGCTTCGGGCCAGATCCAGGCCGGGGCATAAAAGAGCCCATTTTTTCTGGGTTGGGCTGGGCAAGGCCGTACATAGCCCAAAAGCCTGAAACTCTCTCTGTGACATGAAACATAACATACACCCCCTCTCTCTGGCTTGAAAGCCTGAGAACCTCTACTAAATCAGGTTACCTTCACTCTCTCTAACATCCCATCAATCTCCTCCATCAACCTTGCTCTCCCACCCTTTCTCTGTCTACTCCCCCCGTGAGCCTCTCTCTCTCTAAACTTTCAATCTCCAACCCATTACCCATGGGCCTTTCTCTCCCCAAACTTTCTCCCTCCAATCTCCCCCAAAAAACCAGCCTCTCTCTCTCACCCACTCCCCACCAATCTCTCGAACCTCTCCCCTAAATAATTCCTTGCCAAAACTTTAACAGCTTTTCCTTCACAGTATTATAAATGAATATGCAGATCCATGCACCCTGGCCTCAAGAGAGTAGGGTCCAATGTCTCCTTGTAATTTGTTGTGAAAATCATCACACTCTCCCATCCACAGCAGGACAAGAGTATCTCTGACAGGCAGGACAGTCAGTTAGGGTTTCAGAGGTGGGAAAGGAGGGGATACAGAAGAGGGTTTTGGGAGGGTTAGAGTGGAGGATGGTAGAGAGGCTGCGCCTGAGCAAGCGACCATGGATGAGGCTTAGGTTAGAGAGAGAGAGACGGGCCAGTCGGTTAGGATTTCATTGGAGGGAGAGGGAATGAAGACAAGGGTTTTGGGAGGGTTAGAGTGGAGGATGGCGGAGAGGCCACGCCTGAGCAAGCGGCCATGGACGAGACTGAGGTTAGAGAGAGAGAGAGAGAGAGGGAGAGAGAGAGGATATTTGGCGGGGGGAAGAGGAGAGAAGCGAGAGGTGGGGCCTACTCCTCTTTCCAATGCTGTTTTTAAAATATTTTTAAAGGAGGCCCGAGCCTGGTTTGAGCTTTTTGGGGTGGGGCTCTGGCTGGTGCGATGCAGCCTTAATCTTCATTTCCTCAGTATGAACAGGAGTAGCAGCCTGCAGTTGTAGCAGCAGCAATGAGAGTAGGAGTAGTAGCATAGTGTGGTGGTACTAATAGTAGTGGTAGTGCAGTAGTAGCAGCAACAGCAACACCGGACTAGGAGCTGGAGCATTGACAACATGAGTGGTGGTAGTAGTAGTAACAGCGGCACAAGGGCACGAGCAGTAGTAGAGGCACTAGTGGCAAAGATCAGCAGTAGCAGCAATAACAAGTGTTGTAGGAGCAGTAGTGGCAGTAGCAGCAACAACAATAGAAGCAGTAGTGGTAAAAGTCAGATGGTAGTGCCTAGACAAATTTAGGGGTGGAGTGGGTTTTTTTCAGTGTTTTAAAATGCGGGATGCAGCCAAAAGCGGTGGGGGGGCCGATGCGGCCTAGATGCGGGTGCATCACGACGATGAGGTCAATAAATGTAAAAAAAAATTAAAAAATCTAAAAAAATAGGTTAATGCATAAAATAAATAAATTTGAATGAAAAATAAATTTCCGCCAAATTTTTTTTTTCCCTTGATTTGATGCAAAAAAAGCCACAAAAGTGTCTGGAAATCATCGTTTAAGGGGTTTAATACCCCCGAAAACAGTTTCCTCCATTTTTGGATGGTCAAAAAGACTATTTTGCCCCTCCTCGAGAGGCAAAATCGAAAACAATTTCGGCTGAAGGGGATGCAGTGTGATGCAGGATGTGGCTACGATGCGGCGCATATGTGGCCACATAGGTCAAAATCGCATATGCGGTCAGTCTTGATGCAGAGCCCACCGCATACCGCATGATGCAGCGATGTGGCCACATTTTAAAACCATGTTTTTTTTCTTTTCTTGGGGGAGCCCATCTTAGCCTAGGTGAGGTGCCTAGGCACCTCAGCACCTCTAGGGATTTCCAAGGTATCCAAAGTGAAATTTTAATATTTTTTTTCTAGAAATCTGATTAATTTGACATTTGGGGCATGCCAACCATCTCACACACGCAAAAAAGAATGTAAAAAATAAAATGATAAAAATACTCCTGAAATATTCATAGGGTATTTTGTGAAAGTTGGGCAGGGTGAACTAACTTTTCTCTTTTCTATTAGCTAGAACACTTGCAAAGGTCCAAATACAATAAGAAAAACTCAAAATAAACAAATATGAATGACAAAAGAGGCTATGTACCAAAATTTACATGGACTCATCGGTATATGTGGTTCTCACTTGCTGCCACTAAATAAAAATATTTTATTCAATTTAACCAAAATTTATATGGACTCATCGGGTCTCCTCCTCCGATGGCGCATGCGATCAAGGTCTATCTCAGATCTTCGAAGGTTGGGAAGCCTAGGCTATGTACCCTTCAATAAGAGAGCAAGGTGGAACACAAAATAGGCTCAAGCTTTTGCATGTGGGGCATGCGCCCACAAAATATTTTGAACTCTTAGAGAGGTTTAAAGAGAGATGATAGAGATCAAAGAGAGGGTGGCATGCCACCTTGTGAGGGGGAGAGAGAGAAAGCTAGGTAAGGTGTAAACATTTGGGAACCCCAATAGAGACTATTTATAGACTTTAGACTCAGGGTTTGGGTTTTCTAGGGTTAGCTATCCTTATGGAGAGTAGATCTAGACCATTGATCATAAGAGACCTGTGGAGTGAAAGATCTTAGCCTTACAATCCTTAGATCAACCATCATAATCAAAAGGAAGGTGCTAGAACCTTATCCTTCAGCTTTCTTTACATAATCCCATCAAATATACATAATATGGAAAATATATTTCTCTTTATTTCTTTTCCATAAATTTCTTACACATGCTTTATTTGAAAATCAAATCTCTTTTATTGCAAAATTTACCCTTAAAGTTTCAGTTGATCGAGTGGCTAATTTGGTGTGCCACATAATAGGAAAGAAGCTCCATTAAGTGGGGTGTGCCTCTCATGAGGCCACAAGTGGGCCCTATGCACCTCCCACATGCAATTTTATGGTGGGTCCCATGGACTACAATGGCCCACATGTGTCTTCCTATTCATGAGTAAGAGGGGCAACCTTAGTGGGTGCACGGTTCAGGATAGATTCTGCTATCAATACTACTTCTCCCCAAAAATCCAAGGAGAGCTTTGCATACTCCATCATATTTCTCACCATTTCTACCAAGGTTCTATTCTGTCTCTCGGCAATTCCATTTTGCTTCGGTGTATAAGGTATGAGGCATTGGTGAATAATACCATGCTCTACACGCAGGTCCCTAAAGAGATGTGAGGAGTACTCACTGCCCCTATCAATTCTTAGGACTTTGATTTTCTAGTTTGTTTGGTTCTCTTACTCAGCTTATATTCTTTGAATCGCTCTAAGGCTTCGAATTTTGTGTCCACAGCCATATCACGAGGGGTCATTAATCGATGTGATGAAGTACCCCTTGTGGATTTTGGTAGCCACATTCATAGGATTGCAAATGTCATTGTGATGATTTCTAGAATGCTAGAAGCTCCCGGTAGAATTTTTCCTTATTAATTTTCCTTGCACATATGACTTACACATCTTTGATAAGTCTCCTTTGTAATTTTCCATAATTCCATCTTTTCTTAATCTTTCCGTTCTCTTAAATCCTATGTGCCATAATTGCATATGCCATAGGAAAGCATCAACATCATTGGAGGAAGGCTAGACATAAGCAACCACCTCTTTTATTTCAATGGAATAAAGACCGTCTTTGTGTGGACCAGTCATAACAATCTCATTATGGTTTTTCACTATGACCTTATTTCCAGAGAATGTCGTGATAAACCTGGCCTTAGTAATCCTTGGGACCGAAACCAAATACTTCCTCATGTCAGGAGCATAAAGTGTTTGTTTTAGTACCATGACCTTACCATTCTTTATTTCTAGTGCAAAGTCACCAATAGCCAACACCTCGGTCCTTTGGTTTCCTCCCATGTAGATGAGTTGCTCACCTGGCCCTACGGTTTTGAAGTTGTGGAAGCCATCCTTGGTGTTTGATCTGTGGGCCATAGCTCTGGAGTCTAGGCACCAAGATGCGCCCTTGGGGTCGGCTAGCAAGGTCTTGAATGCAACACACGTAAGTTCTTTATTACCCCCAGGGTTCTTACTGAACCTACAGCTCTTGTCTATATGGCCAATTTTCTCTCTCTCCCTTTTTCTTTTCTTCTCCCCTCTTCCTATTTTTCATTTTCCCTCTCCCTTTATTTGGTTTAAATAGGGTTGAGAGTTTACAATTTGCATCGCATCTTTGGGTGCCGGTGCACTGCGAGCGTTCCACCTCTCCTCCTCGGCCTTGAGTAAGATGATGAGCTCCTTTGCCAAGGAGCAGTCTCTCGGGCAACAAGAGAAGATATGAATATCTCCCAAGAAGTAGGGACAATATTCAGCAAGTGAACCACTTGCATGGGTTTCGGAGGCCAGATCTCAATCGCATCCATTTCTCGAATAAGCTTCTTGAAGGTGTGCACATGATCTGCCATTTTTCCACCCTTGGCCATTTTCAGATCATTGTATTTCTTCATGGCCAAGCATTTTCTCATAAGAAAAGGATCAACATACTACTTCTAGAGCCGATCATGTATCCCTTTAGTTTTAATTGACTCATACTCAAGACGTGTATGAGTCATGCATGGCTACGAGCAAGATATGCCTTGCGCTCCCACTCGGCTTATGCATCTCTTGTAGCCTGAGATGCATTGCCTCTAGGATGGGATGAAGGAGTTTCAGTAAGTATTTCGCTCAAGCCTTCCTCATAGAGCACATAGCCAATCTTGTGCTTCCATGAGACATAGTTTGTGCCATCGAACCTTTCGGTCTTTAAGATCTCGGCAATAAAACTACGTGCAGCCATATGTTCTTGTCTCAAATAAATAAAAGGCCCAAATAACAAAAATAAATCAACCTAATGGCAGCCAAATACCCAAGCTCTACTACCAATGAAAGTTAAATAGGGTGCACTAACACGGTATACGCGATTTTTTATTTTTCTCTTTTCTACCTGCTAGAACACTTACAAAGGTCCAAATATAATAAAATAAACTGAAAATAAATATATATGAATAACAAAGAGGTTCTCACTTGCAGCCATTAAATAAAATTTTTTTATTTAATAACCAAAAATTACATGGACTTAGTCGGGAGCAAGAAACATAAATTGCATAACACAAAAATAAACTGCCAGAAGATTACCTTAACTGGACTTGATACACCGCAGTTTGGGTCTCCTCCTTCGATGGCACACGGTGTCAAGATCTATCTCAAATCTTCAAAGTATGGGAAGCCTAGATTATGTGCCACCTTGTGAGGGAGAGAGAGAGAGCTAGGTAAAGGTGTAGAGATTTGGGACCCCTCCATAGAGACTATTTATAGACTCAGACTCATGGTTAGGGTTTTTTAGGTTTAACTATCTTTATGGAGAATAGATCCAGACCATTGATCATAGGAGACCTGTGGGGTGAGAGATCACAGCTTTACAATCCTTAGATTAACCATCATGATAAAAAAGACGGTGCTAGAAGCTTATTATTCAGTTTCCTTAACCTAATCCCATCAAATATACATAATATGGAAAATATATTTCTCTTTGCTTCTTTTCCATAAATTTCTTACACATTCTTTATTTGAAAAATCAAATCTCTTTTATTGCAAAACTTTCTGTTAAAGTTTCAATAATTGATTGATTGATTTGGTGTGCCCCAAAATAGGAAAGAAGCTTCATTAAGTGCGGTGTGCCTCTTATGAGGCCACAATTGGCCCCTCCCACATGCAATTTTATGGCGGGGCCTATGGGCCATAATGTGCCCCCATGTGTTTTACTATTTATAAAATAAAAATGATTTTTAGAAAATGATTGCTATTTTATTTTTCTATCTATTTTACAGAAAATTCAGTTTTTGACTATTTATAAATCAATTTTTGGGAAAATAAAATACCTAGAGACTGCTAAAATTTGTTTTATCAATCTAAAAATCATTTAAGGCCAAATTAATTAATTCTAAATTAATTTGATGGGATTTGGATCCAACTATATTAAGGAATATCATAATTATTGAAGCACTTCATCTTCTACTAGAGACTATAATCCACACCCACTTTTTCAAACTGACTCAATAGTTTCCATGGCCCACAGTCCATCACAGGGGTTCATGATTACGCTACCAAAGTCAGCAAATAGGTGAGGGACATAATCCTAGTCTATGGATTACAGGTTTTCTCCTAGAGATAAGTCTAAGGTCACACAAACCTGTGTACACACGACGTATATGGTGCATATGGGGTTATTTCTTGCACATGGACATGTATTACCCTAAATGGTGATTTGCTTCCCGATATGGCTCTCATATGTATATGCCGTGTGATGGTTTCAGATAAAGCTTTGGCCCTCGTCCCTACAGGCCCACCACTCACACATAAGGGTCACACAGTCCCTTGACTCACTACCCTTGGCAACTCTGACTTCATTAAGGGATAACCTTGCTCACCCTTATCGGTTGTGCTCTATGACCAGGTATTTAGGGTTTTTGGAACTTGACTGGCCTAGCTCGAGCCTAGTTTGATTCTCGGCAATAATATTTGCCAATCTCGATCCCTCTGGACCATACTCCCATTGGAGTTCTTTGTTCGACTATATTAAAATTAATTGCATTCTCTCACAAGGCGTTTAATGGCCACCAAAAACCCAACAATTTGGCCATTTTTATTATGTGAATTATTTTTTATATTTTATTTAAGTGTTCCTCACTAAGGAAAATACACCCACGAAATTGAGGTTAATCCGATTTGTAAAAGAATTATTAAAATTCAAAAATATTAGACAATCGTGACTGGTTGATGAACTTTGGATGGTCCATGAGCAAAATACTGTAGAAGTTCACTCATGAGTGTTTTTTAGTGTTTTCTTACACACACATACATACATATACCTTTGCAACTAGCATTATGCGATTCTTGAGAAATAATTATTGTAATTGAATGCTTACTTAAATTCAGGATTCCTCTTGTGAGAATACATGTCAGAAATTTATTTTCTGGATAGCCTCATTTTTTGCCATCACCTAGAGTCCGAATCAACATCACATTGTACTATTTTTTCCTTGGAAGTAGTATATTTTATTTTTAGCTACTGAGGAAATATAATTATGTCAAGAATCAATTTCGGAAATTAATCACTGAGAAATTCAGAGATCATTAGTTTCAGAAATTGATTGGAAATTTTTAGAGATACTGTTCTACAAATGTATGATTAATGTAAGATGCTTTGGTGGTCAGGCTCACATTCGCATTATCTTTTTAGTTCAAAGGCACCGATCCTCTTGTGAAATCCAAATTTATTGCATTCTTGGTCTTGAATATATTAAACTCTGCATTTTTTTGACTACTAGTTTTAATGGCTTTTCTTCTTGCTTTAGACATGTTCCCAACTTCATGATCTCACATGGAAATTGTTCTGTAGCACGGAATAGTTGTTCTTTTTTCCTGCATCATAACACTGTATTTGATTACCAGCATGAGGTCACATACCAGTTTGTCAATTGCATTTTCTTTGTGGGTAGAATTTTCTAGAAGTGCCTCATAATTGCAGGTGATGTGTTACACTCTAGAATGCAATACAAATTCTTGGCTGTGTAGGCCAGCCAAGTACTCAAGAAATCAAGAACCTTATTCCATTTCCTTCTAATCATGGATTTCAACAGGGGATGCTGGATGGTGTTGATTGATGCTGCAAAAGGTTGTGCGACAGAACCTCCCGATCTTTCTAAATTTCCTGCTGACTTCGTTGTTTTGTCATTTTACAAGGTATTGCCTTAGAATACCTCCAAGTGCAAATCACCTTTTGGTGTGTCGTTCAGCAACTTCCTTTTCATATGTTTGTTTCTCTCAATATTTTCTCATGATTTACATTTGTGACTTTGCACTAATATTGATTATATCTTGTTAGATTTTTGGCTATCCTACTGGGCTTGGTGCTCTCCTTGTTCGAACAGGTATGGACATTTTTCATGTAATGATCTATCTAGATAACTCTTTGCAAGAAATTTTCTCTGAGAAGATTGCCAACTGCTTGTTGAGATCTATGGAGTGAAGTGGATGATTCTCCATTATTTCCTTTCTGTTCAGCTTTTATTGGACGTCAAAAATTATTAAGGACTATATAACTTGCTTTTATGTTTCCTTTCTGTTCAGCATCTATATTGTATTGGACGTAAAGAAAATATTGAGGAGTTCATACCTTGCTTTTATGATCCTGATTGGTCATATGGAAATTAACCTTTTTTTTCCTTTTTTTGGTAGCTCTGATACAATTGAAAGATTTCTTTTGCTAATGCCACTAGAATAGTTTATTGATTAGTCACTACGAAAATAATGTTACGTGACAAATGATTGCAGAAGCTGCCAAGTTGCTCAAGAAGGCATACTTTAGTGGAGGTTAGTGAACTTCTTGTCTTTCCTTTTTTTTTTAAATATATAGTTTACCTTTGGCATTTACGTTGTTGAGTGTTCCTAAATTAAAAAATCACAATATGTCAGGAACGGTTGCTGCATCTATAGCAAACATTGACTTTGTAAGTAGAAGACAGGGTGTTGAGGAATCATTTGAGGATGGCACACAATCTTTCCTCAGCATAGCTTCTATTCATCACGGATTCAAATTGATCAATGATTTAAGGGTATCTGCAATATCTCGGTATGTCGTATGTGGGTGGAGATATCCTTGTTACAGACAAACCAATTAGATTCTGACAGAGTCTTAGCTCCATGAGTATCAAGATTTAGTAGGTTATTAAGTGGACATATTTTTTGTTGCTATTCATTTACTCATTGTGAAAGGAAATTACTTTTTTTAGATCTTGTCAAAATCCATTAATGAGCTGACCCATCCATAAAATTTGAGAAATGGCATATCACTGTACATTGCATATTGCTATTGTTCAAAAATCTTTAAGATCAATCATTATATATAATGTGAAAGAAGCCCGTGAAATTAAATCTGGTATTCTTTCGATCCTAAAGCAAGCAAAATCTAGCAACTATAGAGAAAGAAATATAGTTGTAATAATGCCAAAAGGAAGAAGTAAGTCTTTCTACTCTCATAAAAAAGCTCCACAAAAAAATATATGTCTTCCATCTAAGGGGAAAATTCCACCTTATATACAAACCAAAAATAAAAAAATAGAATAAAATAAAATAAAACAAAATGAAATAGAACTCTTAAAAAAAAACAATAATAAAGCAAAGAAACCATAAAATTAACTCTCTCTCTAAAGCTTTTGGCTCCCTTATCTCACGCAACTACCACATTGCCCATCTCTCTCTTATTGTACCTCTTATTATTTCTCTTGCAGATCCTATAACTTAAGAAAGATTTCCCTTTTAATCTCTCACCACACACATACCCACAAAACCCATTTAAGTTGGGAGAACAATGAAATGAAGAAAGGAAAAGACCCAATGCCCAACCCATCCTTTTTTCCTAAAGCTATGGAACCGATATGATTTCCCATGAAAATAGGACCCCCATAAGAGCCCCACGTGATCTAATCCCACCAAACAGGTTCCCCACAAGATAGGAAACTTGCTAATAAAATCTAAAAATTTATGTTAATCCTAATAAATAAAAATTGAACACCCTGCTTGCAGTAATATATAAAACTCCATTGTAACCCCCATTCAGTAATTCCTAAAATAAATAAATAAAAAATAACATCTCGGATGTGATTTGCATCAATATTGGGAGTGATCTTTTTTTATTTTTTGTTGGTTTAGAGCCTTTAGACAATAGGGAATTTTTTTTTTATCCTTTTGAGGAATTTCAACTTATTGCTTGTGTTCTGTTTATGCTAGTTGGATGCCATATATTGCACTTTCATTGTTGTCAACTTTATGAGTTCCTTATATTTATATGGGACAGTGGAATGCCCATGCATGCAACATCTTTTCTAATCTGGAGTGTTGTGTCTATTCTGAACATCATCTAGTGTTTTTCAAACCTCCTTTCAAGTTCTAACTTGCTTGACTCCTCTTTCTGTTGTTTCCAACTACCATTGAATGTTTTCGGCCATTTCTTCCTATAGATGTTCTGGTAGCTCTTTGTTCTTTCTGCTTGACAATGCTTATGAACATATATCTGCTCCTAGACACAGTTCCACTAACCAAAACACCCATTGATTGAACTCAATGACCTATTGTTGGGTGTATGTTTAGTCACATACAAGGCTAGATACATTTCGATGAATGTTCGATAAAGATTCAGGTGATTATAAGGCAAGGGTCTAATGAATGTCGGATAAATGCTTTAATGGCGGATAAGCTTGATAACCTTAAGACCTTAAAGATATGTCTTGGTTGGTTATGCTTTTAGTCGTCATATAAGACGAAGTATATTTCAACTGGTGCTTGATGAAGATATCAATATGAATGCACAAGTCTTTGACGAACGCTGGACAGTCTTTGACGTTGCATCAGAGCGCATCAGAGCCGCATAGCTTATCTGGCCGCATATTGTTCCGCGATGTTATTTTCGATTGTGCTCCTCAAGGATGAGAAAAATAGTCTTTTTGACCATAAAAAATTGGGGAAAATAGTTTGGGAGGTATTAAACGCCCTAAACGAGCATTTACAACCACTTTTGTGGCTTTTTTGGGATAAAATCGAGCAAAAAAATGCGGAAATTGTTTTTCATTGAGATCTTGGATTTGGGGATTGTTTGGTATTTGGATCTTGATTTGAAGATTTTGGTTGTTGATTTGAGAAAGTTTAGGTGAATTTGTGACAAGTAATCGGGGGTTTCAAAGGCCGTGAAGAAATCGAGCACTTCTTCAAGAACCGGTAATTTTTTATTGTTTGTATAGTAATACTTATTTTTGGGGCAATGTCTTCTTCCTAATCTTCTAGTAATAAGGATCCAGCTTGAAAATATGCCAAACTGGATTTTGTGTGATTTGCATGCTCTGTGGAAATACTTATATGGGTGGTATTTTTCGACAAAAAGAACACTTAGTCGGAATTTCTGGGCATGTATGAGCATACCCACAAGCTACCGATGAAATAAAAAAGTAGATTAAAGAATAAATGGATAGATTGAAAAAAGATAAAAGAGTTGAAAAAAGATAAAAGAATAGAAAAAAATGAAAAAAAAAGAATTACTTGATGATATGCAATTATTTGATGATGATGTTGATGATTATGATGATGATGATGATATATCTGAAGTTGCAACGAGGCAAAGGGGTACTCGGAATCTCAAGAGAGAGTTACAAATATTGGTGGTAGTTTTGAAATAATAACACCTCTCTCTAAGGGGCCAATGGATGTTTTTTTCACCCCTAGCCCCGAAATTGTGGTTCAGGAGAGAAAGAAAGAAACAAAACAAACTACAATTGAAAATAGATACAAGAAAGAACATAAGAAGTCGGTATGTAAGTGGATTGCAAAGTGGATTTACATGGCCGACATTTTTTTTAATACTATAACTCTCAATAGTTTTGCATGTATGGTCCAAGCAATTGGGCAATATGGCTCAAGACTTGTTCCTCCTTTTGCATGTATGATCCAGTCAAAACTCTTAATCTTCATGGAGACATGGACCTTTGGTTTGTAGTATCACTGTTTTGTAATTTTAAAGTTTGTGGTTGCAAATTTGTGCTTATGGTTGTTGAATGTTTTATGAAGCTAGAGTTTCTAGCTTCTATTAGGAGATAGTGGATACAGAATCTCCGACAATTAATATTTTTGGAGTTAATCATTAAACTAAAATACCTATTATCACATATATCACCTCCATATTGTTTTCTATGCATTAACCTATTTTTTTAGATTTTTTAGACTTTTTTTATATTTATTGACTGCATCGTTGCGATGCACTCGCATCCAGACCACATCAAGCCGCATCGTCACATCCCCCCCCCCATTGCTTTTGGCTGCATCCCGCATTTTAAAACACTGACGCTGGATAGAGTCACAGTTGGATAAATATGTAAGCTGGATAGCTTAGCCCCCGAAGATATGCTTGAGATGTTGAATGAATTCTTAGCCACCATATGCAAGACTAAGTACGCTATAACATATGTTTGAAGGAATACAGATATATAGCGATGTCTTTTGATGCACACTTGATAGCTTTCTTAATTGACAGTCGATAAATTATGAGCGTGATTCTTGATAAAAACCTACTGAGATATGTCCGTGATATGAAGAGATGAATTGATATGAAAGATATGACATATCCAAAATTTATTATATGAAGGCCCCAATATGACTTCGAAATCTTGACTCGTCAGTCAGCCTTTTTATGACTTACGACCATTGACTCATTAGTCATGCGTGTTCATCTTTGACTTGCAATTGATGATAAAAGATATTAAAACTATCTCATTGTGAAACAAGTTCTAGGATACATATACTCCTAAGGCCCCGATATAACTATCCATGTGATATGTGGAAGAACCTGATGCGGTTTGATATAGATATTTTCCTGATTCATCTGCAGTTATGCATGTACATCATTACTTACAGTGTAATGATAAGAGATCATGAAGACGATTAGATATGAGACGAAACTCTGGGATACATATACTCCCATGGTCCATATGTGCCTCTCCACTGAATGTTGGAGGAGTTTTGGATGAGATGTGATATGACTCTTTTAATTCATTGTCCGTTAAGGATATGGGGACTAACAGACGGGGCATAAGGAAGACCTCTCCTTGTGACGATATAATGAGGTAAATCTTTAAAGATATATATATTGAGGCCTTATAAGCCTTTGCGTCCAAGAATGATACAAATTGGGCAATATTCGGAATTGGCTTGACCCAGTGTCTGTATTCACTGTCAGTTAAGATATGCACGACACCTCGAAACTTTGCATTTTGGAATTGAGCCGAGACTCTTAGGGAATCATGTTCGAGGCATCATATCCCTCTTCTTGGAGTTTCATATCATCCAGAGGTGAATTAACCCATCATCCGCATGCCCCAGCAATTGAGGCCTTAAAAGTCTTATACTCCGTCTGTTAACAGCCAGGACTACCCTTGGTCGCCAAAATTGAGAATTCTATCTCGATATGAAGAATTTTCTCATGGGACCAAGACCATTGGATTCCTGACTCAATGCCCAATCACCCTTACAAGGTGTAGCATCATTTGATTCATATGTTGGAAGCGGTTGCATCTGTAATTCACTGGTTTTGCTGACGCGATATCCAGGAGAAACACTGTAACTTGAATGGACGAGATCTCTCTCATCTGTGATCCATTGTAAGTGAGACTTGAACGATTGTGTTCGTCTTTGAGTCCTCTTTCATCTCTCCAAGTTTCGTGATCAAAGGAATGGCCATCAAAAAGCAACTGAAGAAATACGAAGATGCGTCAAATTGTAGTCGCAAAGGCTTAACTGTCAGTGATGAGAAGTAACAGAATCTTGATATTTCTCACGCGATGACCTCGTCGAATCTCGAATCCATGGATTCAAATTTGAATGTTTTGTAGATGAGCATTAATTGAAACATGTGATTATCATTAGAAGACACCTGTGCGGAAATACAAATCCATTTTAATCCCTGTAATTATCAAGATAAACAACGTGATTATCATCATGAAGATCAATGTGTGAAGATGTAGATCAATGTGAAAACCAAGATGCAGATTAGCAGACGGATAGACGTTGAAGATTTTCATGCTTATCAAGTGAAGATTGATGGTTATTTATTGATGAAGACTATATAAACTCAGCTCTCGATCAGAGAAGGGCTTGATTTTGTTTGGTTCAATTCTATTGGACTCCGATAAGGTTGAATCATTACGTTTAGAGAGAAATAGAGAAGTGATTTTGTACACAGGGTGTGAAGAAACAGTCCACTACATGACGGTCTTTTGAAACATATCTAAGATAGAGAGAGAAAAGTTTATCTTGTTTCATTTAAGCCCACTTGAAGCTCGATTTCGAAGAAGGAGCAGGCTGCACAAACAATACCCCTGCATTTCAGTTCAGGTATATGGGTCAATATACCCTTGGTATTGTGTTTCATTCAAGTGCATCTGTATATTTTCCTTCCTAGAATCGCATGTATAGGTTTCAATACCCGAATCAAGGGTATTTCGTCTAGGTTTAGACTGATGTGAATTGTAATAGAGGAATGTACTAGCAAATTTGGCCCCGTGTGTGATGTCCTCTGGTCATTTGTTTGGCGTCTAATGTTTGCTTAAACATTTCAATCAATATAAACAGCGCATTTTTCGGAGCGTCCACTTATTAGGGTCCTTGAGATGAAAACCTTGACTCTATAATTTCCTTGAATTTCCCCCCAAAAAAAAACATCACCTTGATGACTAGTTTGGAGCATTTTTAGAGAATCATAGTTTTTATTTTATTTTATTCTATATTTAGTAATTTATAGCAATTTGATTTATTCCTCTGCATAAATCTTCTAGTGTGTTTGAATTCTCATGGGATTTTGGTTTCTTCTTTACTTTTCCAGGCATACGGCAGCACTTACTGCTTACGTAAGAAAGACACTTTTGAGCTTAAGGCATGTCAATGGAACTGCAGTCTCTGTACTTTATGGAAGCGATGCAGCCAAGGTTGATTTCTTTTTTCTTAATCGAATTGATCGATATTGCAATGTAGTTTCTAATTCCCTTTTCTAATTTCTTCAATGAGTTTTCGAATCATTAACGTTATGGATCCTCATGGAAGTTGCAATTTTTTGCATTTCATTGGATGTCACCTTATTGCTTATTTGCACTCGTCAGTTCTGAGTGGCCTTCTTGTTGTTTTTTGCCAAATTCTTAAAGTAAATTTAGACAGTAATATGTAGATTCATACCTCATGCATGATTTGTTTTTGGTTGATGAAGGTATAAATTAAATGTGAAGCATGCTTTAATATTAAAGTTTACATATTGTAGGAGGTTACCTAGCATATTTATCATCTTATAAAATAGCTGTAGTTTATATATCAAAATACAACTACCGAGCGAAAACTCCGTCATATATTCAGGTCAAATTATGAAAACATAAAAATTATATGTAAAATATGTATACATTGATTTTACAGAAATATAATTTTTATATGTTTTAATAGATCTTTATATGACACCCAAGTTTGTACACAACCACTTGGCTCAGCAGGGGCGGAGTTTGAGTGACTAGGCCAAGTTCCAGAATGCAGCTTTTTTGTCTTAACTTGCATCAAAGTTTGGCCATGGACAATTTGTGATGTGAACTTTACAAGTTTCGTGATATTCATTTATTCATTCCATCTTGATTCATTTTCATATTGTTCTGCAGTAATTTGATTCATGCATCTGGCTATTTTGGAATTTATACTATTCATCAACTATATGCATAAGGTTCAAATTATGTTGACATGTTGTGCATAATACTTACTCTAGCTGAATGGTTAATGGTAGTTTTCAATACTGAATGGTTAATGGTAGTCTTCAATAAATTGTTTAGGGATTATCTTCGGGGCAGGGTCCTACAATTTCATTCAATTTGAAAAGACCAGATGGCTCTTGGTTTGGCTATCGCGAGGTGGAAAAATTGGCCTCTCTCTCTATGATTCAGTTGAGGGTAATTACCTCTGGCGATTTGTTTTTCCAGTTGTACTTCTTATATCCTACTAGTTGTACTTGGTGTTTATATTGTAATGTGGTTAAAGAAAGATGGCTTCCCTACTCCAAAAGAAGCTATTGTGTCTTTAATGAACTTTTTATACCCTATTGGTTTACTTTATGTCACACTAAAACTGATAGATTTGCAAGTTCTTGCATTCCACTTTACCTCCTACGTGATATGCTTTGGGAATGATGGGTTGCAGATTGCTAGTCATGTATGTGGGTAATCTCATATATACAGCTGTTGGTATCCTTAATGTAGTAAATGCTTCTCCATATGCTACTATGGGTTCTTTTATACTGACCTCAAATATAATTGCCTTGCTGTGCTTAAATAGTTCTAGAAATCAGATTGTGTGGGAGAAATCGATAAACACTTACCATTTTTGTTGTTTTATGAGCATGACTTGTGTATTTATTTGAATGTTGTGGCTATGTACAGTAAGCAGGTAAGGGAAATTTACGCACCATGTTTTCACCTTGCCCATGTGGACAGGTTAGGTTTATTGATAGTTTGATAGACCTGATTAATTTGTCGAAACAAAATTAATGTTGCAAAGTTGGTCTCTGCTCAGGACTCCTTTGAATCAGCTTGTCAAGTCCTGAAATGATTTGACGAATCTCATCCTGTAAGAATTGGCTTTTTTCTGGATTCCCTATTTCTAAGAAGAGTTGAGTAAGACTTGCATGAAATTTAAGAATTACAAGTCTTAGACAAAGCTCCAAAAGTCTCATAAGAGTAACCTATCTTTTACACCTGTCAAGTCCAATTTTTTAAGACTCAAAAGTTGCCTTACCCGAATAAACCCGGGTGAGGCCCAAGTCCTAAAGCTGAGTTGTAAATGTTGGGCATAATCGGAAGATCTGACCATCATTTACAAACTAATAATATTGACTTGATGAGGCGATGATTTGGGCTTACTTGAGGTTTGATCAGTAGGCCAATTATGTGATTTCACTAGTGCTGGTCCTTGGTTTTTATGTTTCTAATATATATTTCCCGAATTTTCACATTCATTAAGACTGAGTTTCATTGCACAAGGAGTTCCCAAAATAAAAGTTCCAGAAAATGGTGACCAAAGGAAGCAAATATTTTATTTATTTATTTTTGAACAGTAGCTATTATGCACGATCGAGGATTCAAGGGGTCAAGGAAGTAGGTCTTAACTACAACAAAATCTTAAAGGGTGGTTCTAAGATGGTCTCGACTTGTTAAAAACCAGATTATAGCTGGTCATATTGCATGGTGGACTTTTTCGTCCTGAATATGTGAGTTTTATGTAAAGAGGTGGGATACTGGGTATCAATTTAGTGCTTATACAATAAATCAGGGACAAGAGAAGGTGAAAAAATGTCTTCAAATTAGCAAAAGGAGAGAGGAGAAGTGTATATTAAATACTACGAGTGAGGATCAGAGGGTCTTGATGAAAGATGACGAGGTCAACAAAAAGTGGATAATTTATTTTTAAGAATTGTTAAATGACAAACGCTATGAGAATACAACATTAGGAGGAAACTTTGACATAAATAAGGGCGGAGGTCATAGATACATTCGCAGGATAAGGATAAGAAGCTTTGAGAAAGATGAAGATAGGAAAAACTTTAGGACTAGATGGTATCCGAATGGAGGTTTCGAAGTGCATGGGGGAGATTGACATATGCTGGCTGACCAAGCTGTTCAACAAGTTGTTGAGAATACAGAAAATACCAGACTAATGGAGAAAAATATTGTGCTACCTATTTATAAGAGCAAAGGAGATATACATAATTATACGAACTATCAAGGGATCCAACTTATGAGCTACACTATGAAGTTGTGGGAGAGATTGATTGAGCAACGACTAAGGCATGAAACGAGCGTATCAGAAAATCAGTTTGGTTTTGTGCCAGGGAAGTCAATAATTGAAGCTATTTTTCTATTTAAGCAACTGATTGAGAAGTTAGAGGGAAGAAAAAATCCCTCCACATGGTTTTTATTGATTTAGAGAAAGCGTACAACATGGTACCTAGAGATTTAATTTAGTTGGTGTTGGAAAAGAAAGAAATCTCTAGAGGTTATATTGACATGGTTAGAGTCATGTATGAGAGCGCTAACTAGTGTGAGACAACAATTGGAGAGACAAGTGAATTTTTAGTGTCAGTAGGCCTACAGTAGGGATCAGAGTTGAGCCCATATCTCTTTGTTTTGATTATGGACGAGTTAAGCCTACAAGACGAGGTACATGGTGTATGTTGTTCGCGGATGATATAGTTTTCATTGATGAGATTAGAACGTTAACTTTGGAGGGATAGTCTAGAATCTAAAGGTTTTAAAATTAGTCAGACTAAGACAAAATATATGGAATGCAAGTTTAGTATTAGTAGGAGTAAAAACGAGGAAGTAGTTAAGATTGAGGAAGATGTCGCACATAGAATTAGAGCTGGGTGGGCGAAGTGGAGATGTACTTCTGGAGTTTTTTGTGATTGCTGCATATCAATGAAATTGGAGGGGAAGTTCTGGAGGACAACTGTAAGACCAGCCATGCTTTATGGACAGAATGTTGGGCGGTCAGGAAACAAAATATCCATATGAGGAATGAAGCTGAGAGGATGATGATGAGATGGATGAGTGGCAAGATAAGAAAGGATAGAATCTTGAATGAATACATTTGAAGGAATTTAGGTGTGGCTTCAATAGGTGATAAGATGAGGTAAAGTAGACTTAGATGAGGTTGACATGTGCAGTGTGGACTTAATACAACACCGATTAGGAGGTGCCATTTGGTTCAAGTGGAAATCTCTAAAAGGCCAAGGGGAAGGCCCAAGAGGATATGGATAGAAACAATGAAAAAAAATATGGTGACATATGGCCTTACTAAGGGTTTGACCCTTGATAGAGCTGAATGGCGGAACAAGACTCATGTCGCCGGCTCCAAATAGTTGGGATAAGGCTCGGATGATGATGATGAAATTGACAAGTTTTATATGTTAATAAAATAATTGATAATTATTTTCCCTAGAGGAATTTACTTTATAAGATTTGAATGTAACTTTTTTAGACCAACATCTTGTCCTAACTTAATATTTAAGTTTTGAGGTTCTAATCATTGCAGATAAAATTATGATACACCTAATACAATCAGGTGTGGTGTCCCTCATTGAAATATCCCTTTGCAGTCGAGATGTATAGGAGTTGCCAAGCCTATTTACCTACCAGAATCGATGAAACCTAACAAGATTGTCACATTCTAGTGTTGACGGCTCGGTAAACATGGTCGAATAACATTGATTCTATGTTCATAGATTTTGCAACCTCTTAAAATATAGTTTTTCCTTGTACTTTCTATTATGTTCTTTAACAAATCATCAGTGATACTAAGGAACAACAGAAAACTATGAAGGAGAAATGGTCTGGTGAAGTTCATGTTGGTCTGAACCTGTTTGGTCACTGGTTGGATTAATCAGAATGATCTTTGGCCGACTCAGTTCGAAAACAATTTGAACTATAAATTGAATGCAGTTATCACCTTCTTCACATGAACTTAATATTAACACATAATGTCTGCTCTGTTCAGTTATTTGTTAGATCTGCATTTGAAGGCTTATTTGTTAGATCAGCATATGAAGGCAGAATGTTCTTATAGCTGCAATATTAAAGATGCAATACATTTAGAATGGTTCTCTGTAGTTGGCTGACCTCTTATTTGCTACTCATATTTTGTAGACTGGATGCTTTTGCAACCCAGGTGCATGTTCAAAATATCTAGGTTTATCTGAAACCGATCTGCGTTTAAACTTTGAGGTATGTCATCCTTTGGGTTTCTGCTCTATGATTACTTCTTTACAAGATGATATTACAGATTTGTTTCTAAATATAATCTGCAGTTTTTTATGCAATTCCATCATGTTTATGATGCATGTGGTTTCGCACATTGTTGCTTTTTGGATCAGGCAGGTCATGTTTGCTGGGATGATAATGACATATTGCATGGGAAACCAACAGGAGCTGTGAGGATATCCTTTGGTTATATGTCGACATTTGAAGATGCAAAGGTAGAAATCTATCCTTATTAACAAGTCCCTCACCTTGGAGACATGCTTTCTTAAGAACTTAACTCCTGGTCCTACAGCAACTGCAATACTGAACAAATGATAAGTTTTTTTTTTGGATGCATTTCAATGAGGTGATAAAACTTTGGAGACAACCTAGTTATTTTTTTGTGCTTTCTCCTAGAAGTTTGTATTTAATGTATTTTGTGCCCTGTGGTTATGATGATGTTTATCTACATCTAGTGCATAAATGCCCAGAATAGTATCTACCTTTTATTTTATCATATGTGATTTTTCTTTCTCTATTTATTATTTTTCCTTGTAGCTGGCAATATGATTCCCCAGTATCTTGTGCTCATCTACATCAATTCAGTTATCTTGGAGGGGATTTTAGATCTTAACAGGAACAACTATTGGAACAACTATTGAATTACTCTGTTCTAAATATTAGATGGAAGCCACATCATGAACCAGCTAATGCACTTCCAAAACTGTTAATAAAGAATGCCTTTGATATCCTGTTTTATGCCATTGCATAAAATATAAATTTCTTTCTCTATTTTATGCTGTTGCTATGTGACATTCACGACGACTCCCCACTGGGATCTTTCTGTTCTGCTTGTTGAAACTTGAGAAAACACATGAGAATTGTGCAACTGTGATGAATTGATTTTTTTATTTTTTATTTTTACATTTACATATGTGTATGTGCCACATGCACAAACGGGCTAAAGAATTGCTGATTTCATACATGGCTGCATTTGTCTATGCTATCTTTTATCTTCAATAAACCTTTCTTTTTGTTTATTGTAGACCTTTTTGTGGCTATGGATTTCTCAGTCGGAATTTTGGAATTTCTTATGTGGTGGAATGATGTTTCTTGCTGATCTATATTCTTCTGTGCAGAAATTTATTAGCTTTCTGGTAAATTCATTTGTTTCAAAGACAACATGCGGGACCAAGTTGAAGTCCTCCATTGAAGGTTTGTTGTTGGACCCTAGCACTTACTGTACTGCATAAGAAAAGACACTCTTTTTAGATAGTTTTTAATCTTCGGGTTTATGTGTTGGGTTGCTGTAATGCATTTAGAGTCTTTAGTTAGTTGTTGGTGTTGAGTATTGTCCAAAATTCAGAAGAACATTTCTCCTTAAAATACGAAATTTTGCAATGACTTAAGCAGCATTCCTGATGATCCATAATGTATGACATCATGACAAGCTTTTCCTTCTGTTTTATATACTTAGTGGTAGTTCAGGATATGTTCATGTTTGGAAATATATGTACTATCCTTCTGTTTTATATACTTAGAGTAATTTCATCCTTTATGAGCATTATGTGCTTTAGTTAGTACAACATTCATTACATACTGTAATGTAGTGAACTAATAAATTGAAAATCATTGATTGGGTACTGATTTGTGCTTCTTGGCTAGATATTTTCAGATTTTGATTTTACAACATGAACCTGAGAACTTTCATCTCTTTCTACATTTGGGATTTTTCATGTGCGATCAAGATTAGAGAATCATGGGCTTGGGTTGGGGCATAGTAATGTCTGGATCTGCGTCGCTTTGCTAGGAATCGGCTAAGTTTCATCAAATAATACTAGACTCTGACAAGTGCTAAGATACATAAGCAAGCAGTCCTGAGGTGATTCGATTCAGGCAAGTTCCAGGTTGACTAACCAAACTTTAAAACTGTGTTCCAGTGTCCTGTAATACTTGCGACTTTGACCTGACCTCAAATCCTAGGGCTGGTTGTCAAACTTTGATCAAAGCCACTCTATTGAGCATCCCTATATTTCAGATGTCATTATCCACATGCCAGCCTCAGTTGCTTACCGATTGGAGCAGCTCATGAGGAATTTTCTGTGGTCTAGCAACGGGGATAGGAAAATTCATCTCATTTCATAGGCTAACATGTGCAAACCGAAGTCTCTTGGGGGGCTGGGCATACGTAACCTCAGAGACAATAACCTTGCCTTACTTGGGAAATGGTGGTGGCGGTTAGCCACCCAAAGTAATCACTTATTGCAGGAGGTGATAAAGTCTAAATACTGTAGCAGCGACCCCTCTTGGGTCCCGTCTAGGCGTGCCCACAGCAACTCCTCTGGAATCTGGAAATCTATCATGCACTCTTACACCCATTTTCAGTCTAAGATCGGATATAGGCCCAGGCATGGTGACAAAACTCTATTGTGGATTGACCCTTGGCATGATGATACTCCCCTTAAGGAACTCTACCACAGCCTGTTCCTACTGGCCTGAGAACCCAATGCAACAATGGAATCCCACTTTCAGTTGGGGGCAACAGGAGGGGTGTAGAGCCCCATCTTTAGAAGACCTCTTTCTGAAGCGGAATTTCAGGATTTCTCAACCCTTTCCAACACTCTAGATTCCTTATTTCTACCGCTTCAGGGACAGGACAGCCTCATTTGGGCCCCCAATCCCTTGGGATACTTCTCGGTGGCCTCTTTCTACTCATCTCTCGCTCACCCCCCAAGCCCCAATCAATGCCCTCCCTCAATGTCTAAAGCTTGGATCTCTCTTGCCCCCCCCCCTTTCCGCCCCAAAATCCAGTTTTTCTGCTGGATAACTGTGTCCGAGAGGGCCCTCACAGTGGACCAACTGCAAAGAAGGGGATTCTAAATCCCAAACAGATGTATTTTGTGTACTGAAGTAGAGGAAACCAAGTGCCCATCTCTTTGTCCATTGTAAGGTGGCCTCATTTATTTGGGCTCAACTCCTACTGATATTCCAATGGCAGTGGGTCACTCCACCAAACGTCCCGCAGCTTCTAAGTTCAACATTCCCATGGCCCAAGGCTGGAACTCTACTGTGGAGAGCTTTGGTGGCTGCCACTTTGTGGGTAATCTGAAACGAAGAAATGCCAGAATTCCACGGAAGCTCTATTAGATAAGATCAAAGGAGCTGTCATGTTTTGGGCAACCCACCACAAACACTTCAGTGGCCTTTCCCTCTCCGACTTCCTCCACAGTTGGAACCCCATTCTCAGATTCAATCCTCAGAGGTCCCCTTGATCCTCCCTTTGGAGACCAACCAATGATGGGCAAAATGGCGATGTATAAAATTTTTTGGCCTCTATAGACTCCTTGTATAGGGTACCTGTCTGTGGGTAGCCAATTTTTTGGGCGGAACCCATGTGTGGGTATTCAGACCCCCTCTTTTTCTTTGTACTGCTTAAGTCAGGATTATTAGATTGAATGCCAAGAAGATGCTACTGAGAGCTTAGGGCAGTTTGGGTTTGTTTAGTTTTTTCCCCCTCCATCTGAAACATTCCGCACCTAATGAAAGTCCGTCAGCCATAAAAAATTTGAGCAAGGCAGATTTCTTTTAATGAAATATTTTTAGCTTGGCACATCCCTTGCCCCCGAAAAATGACCACCTATTTCCATACCTCTCCCTTTCTCACCCCAACCCAAACCCCCCTACCCCTTCCCCCCCCCTCCCTCTCTCTCTCTCTCACTCTCACAGAGTATATCAGTGTGCCATGGCAAGGCTTTTTCCGCACTCCACAGCAAGCTCCAGGAAAGGTCCGCTCCAACCTCCTACTTTCAGTGGCTATCTCCATCCTTGGTTGAGAAGTGAGAGAACACTACCCCTGTATTCTCATGGAGAGAGAAATAAAGGGTTTAATTGTTCTTTAAGGGGGAAAGAAGGGATTCTTTGGACACCCTGCCCTATTCAGAGAGAAAGAGAGAAGGGGGGGGAGGCAGTGCTGAGCTTGCTCTAATTTTAGAGAGAGGACAATAAAAAAACCTTTTTCTTAACCTCCTTGTTCAAAGAGAGGAAGGTAGAGCTGAGCTTGCTCTGTTTCTAGAGAGAGAATAAGGGTTTCAAACTGCTGTGGTTAGAGATAGGAAGGCAGAGCTGAGCTTACTTTGTGTTTAGAGAGAGGAAAAGAACTTTTTTGGAGATTTGTTTGCTCCTTAAGAGAGATGAAGGGGTCTTCCAATTTGTCCATTTTAGAGAGATAAGTAAGAACTCTGTGCATTATCTTTGAGCTTTGCTTTTGGGCATGTGAAATTGAAATAAGGGGCCTCAAATCTATTGGGATAGTGTGCTTTGCATGAGCATCAATAAGGAAAAGCCGTTGAACTTTGATATACAAAGAGGGTTTCAATTTACTCCATAGATCACTTGAGGATCGATCTTTTGCAGGTGGTTTAAGGGCTTGACTTTCCTTATCTTGTTTCACAAAACTCGCTCTATTTTCTCACTCTTCCCTTATCACTGTTTCTGTATGCATATTCCTTGTACTCTTAATGGTATGTTTCATTAAACCATCTTTTTCAACTTCTGATTATTCTACTTCAGTCACAACCATAGCCACCTTAATCTATGATGAAAAAACCTTCGGTTCAGATTGGCCAAACTCATTAGTGCCCTCTTAAATAAATATTGCATGGTTTTCTATGCTTTTGTTGTTTCACGGGTGGTGGGACTTTGTTACTTCTTATTCTACCCATCTTTCCGATAGATTACATCGCATTTAGGGTTCTATTGTTCAATTTCTCCATTGTGGGTGTGTTGGTTCTCTAAATGGGAGAAAACCAAATTTTTATCACACAAGGTTACCTTGTTCGAATGGGATTATTGTGGCTTATTGGTTATGTCCTTTACCTGAACGGACCACTTAGGTTTTGTTAAATGCTATGGTGCTCTATTATATTTTTGTTGTTTTGGTACCCTGCGGTCCTTTGAGTCCTAACTTGAGCTTGCTTTGTTAAGAGATTCTTTTTTTTACCGTGGGGGGGGGGGGTTGGGGAGAGAGAGAGAGAGATTCTTGGTTCTGGTTCTCGTTATACCAATAATGGTTCAAGTTTGTTGGCTTCAAAGGACCATGGGCTAATATTTCAAATTCACAATCAAATATTTCAAATTCACAAAGAGAGATGGTGTTGGTCACGGAAGAAGAGACTTCTTGATGGTTTTGGGTCTAGTCCAAATTCAACTCTAGGAAAACTATAAGCTTTTGGAGACAGAAGTCTAATGTTTTGGAATTAGATTTTGGTTGCTTGCTTGCAGTCAGAGATGGTCAATTTACTGGTGATTCGGTTATTGAAACTGGTGCTCCAGGACTTGGGTTTTTTTCTAGAGAATCTGAAACAGTAGAAACCCATGAAACAGTATACTGGTAATTGAGTTACTGAAACTGGGTCTAAGGAATCTCACCCTTAGATTGATCAAGGAATTGGTTTTTCTTCTAATAGGGGATCGGAAACAACTGAAAGCCCAAATTGGAAAGAAGTGCAGCATAATGAGGCAATGAGCCTTGATTCTTCGAGTATCAAGCTTGGTTTGGTTGCTTTCGTATTCTATAGTGTGCTTGTTGTGAGGACATCCATGTATGATTTGATGGCCATATATGCTTGCTGCCTTGCAATTATAGTTCAGCAAGCAGTAACTCTAATGCTCTTGCCTTTCTACCAAAATCAAAGCGTTACAACTCGGCCAAGTCGACTTGGACTTGCCCTAACTCGGTCTTGGAAGGTTGCCTTGCCCAAGCCCCCCCCCCCCCAGAACTTAGGGTTTATTTATCAATATAAATTTATATTAATATAATTTGCGATAATTTATACTTCAGTTAATCTTTGATTAAATCAGTTATAAAGCATACTTAGTTTCATTCACAATAATTTATACTTCAGTTAATCTTTGATTAAATCAATTATAAAGCATACTTAGTTTTGTTCATTTTTTAATATTTTTTTTTTAAATTTTTCTCATTTTATGAAGTTATCTTTGAACAGTTTTCTTTCTCTTTTTGTTTACTTTTTGAAAACTTCGCATCTTTTATCTACATCTTCTATTGTTTTCTATAATTTTCTTTTATTCCTGATTCAACAGAATGTTTAGGATTTTTGGAACTCTTTTGGCCATTTTGGAGCTCGGTGAGTCGACTCAGATTCGTCGGAGTAACTCGGCCACGTCGGTGGCTGAGTTCTGCTGCGAAGCTGAGT